TGGCAAAGGCATATCATCGACACTTGAAATTAGTTTTCCACATAGGGTGAGCCAAAACCCAGTAAAGATACTCTAACACAGTGTAATCTTAACAGAGTTATAAGGTTAATGCATATGCAATGCTCGTGCCCAAACATTTTATATCTCCTTCCAAAACCATGCCATGCCACGTTTATATCACAATTCATGATATCATTTTCATCACAATAGAAAACAGGGCAGTAAATACAACACTGAATATCTCTAAGATGCGCCTGCAAGTAGGCTACAAGTACTATCAATTGCCATTTTTACCAGTATTAACCGGAAGGCTCGGCACCTATCCATACGGTTTCTGGATTTTCACCAAGGAGACACATGCTAATTTAATACTACAACTACACTCCCTACCCAGATTATATATATATATATATATACATATAAATTTAATAGTATATATTATTAATCGGGTTGCCTAAACAACTATTGATGATTCCAACCAGTTAAATAAATGAGCTTAAGCCTTCGTTTGGGAAGTGTTAATTTAGACTGAGTTTTTGATTTTTTGATGAATTAAGCTTGACTAAATTAGTTTTGTTTGAAAAAAAAAAATTAGTCTTTTTCGATTTAGATGTGATGCTTGTAAGAGAAAAAATGAAACGATTATGGTTTGGATGAAACATCTTGTCTTATTAGCTAAATTAGATTGTTTTATCTTTTTCTTTTTGTTTTTATTTAGGAATTTTAGCTCTTTCCAAACAGCCTAGATATCAATCTAAAAAAAAATTTAAGAAACAAAATAAAAGAAGAAAAAAACTACTGGCTTATATCTTCTTTTTTGTGGTAAATCTCAGTCGCATAAATAGAATTTTATTAATAATACAAAATCGACAGAGACGTAATGAGTCTTACCTCTCATACAATACAATACAAGAAAATTATATGTGAAAAAATCGACATTAACAAATTCAAATATATGAAGTGCTCAACCTATCTAAAGTCGCAAGATCCTTAACCAAAATTAGGGAGCTTTGAAAAAGTCGAAAAAAAATTAAGAATCACCATAATTATAACCTACCGCTTTATCTTACCATATAATGTTGAAGAAATATTATTTTGTTCCCTAAATTTTTACGTATTTTTTAATTTGATTATTAGATTTTAATTAATATTAATTTTAAATTTAAATTTTTGAAATTTTGATTAATTTAACTCATACCATCACATTTCGCCTACAATTAGACGAAATGTATTGACGTGTCACTAAAACTCATTTAAAATTTCATTTTACCCCCCAAACTATACTTTAAAAATCAACTTATCCCAAATATAAAAAAATTAAATTTAAAAATTTAATAAATAATTTTTTATGTCAATAATGAGAAAATTAAATTTTAAATAATATATACTTTGCAAAAAAAATATAAAAATTCTCATTTAGAATTATCTTGTGACTATGAAGCATGTGTACTTTGACAAAAATATCGTATCCGTACTGGGTACTTACTGAATTTTTTTTAAAAAAAATTCACTCAATTTTGAAATTACTATTAATCGATCAATTCTGTTAAAATTATTTTGAGTAATAAACTAGTTACAATTGCGAGCGCACATACACATAGAGTAGGTAAGAAATGTTAGGCTCAATAAGTTTATTCAAGTTCGACTCAAGATAATTTGAGACCTGTTAATCACAGGTACGGATATGAGAACTGGTATTGGTACGATAAGGGCACGTCGACACGATAAAATCAAAAAAAAAAAAGAAAGTAAGATACGTATATGACTTAATATGTTTATAAAAAATATTTGTTTTTAATTTGGAATAATACCAAAATTATTAAATGGTTTACTTGTTAAATCCAACATACAATTGGCACTTAATGCTAAAAGTATAGGTATAAGATAAACCAAAATTAAACATTATTATATTAAATAACTTACAAACCATAGCTTAATTTTCAAACCATGCTAAGCACAAAATTAAAAATGAAAAAGAAGTCTGGTAAAAGAAATTTTATCTTCGTAATAGAAGAAAATATTTTTCGACTGAAGTACGGTACGGCTTGGGTATATACTAGATATGTTTGGGTACGCCACAAATTAAGAAAAAAAAATTTGAATACATGTTTTGTATACCCGGCACGTATGCAGAAATATCATATGTTGGTAATTACCTATTACTGGTACGACATATCTGTCGAATTATATATGTTTCATAGTTTCGAGATAATTCTAAATGAGAATTTTTATATATTTTTTAATTATTTTTTTGCAAAGTATATATTATTTAAAATTTAATTTTTTCATTATTGCGATAACAATTTATTTATTAAATATTTAAATTTAATTTTTTTATATTTTGGGGGAAATTGATTTTTAAGGTATAGTTTGGAGGGTAAAACGAAATTCTAAATGAATTTTGGTATCACGTTAGCGCATTCTGTCCAATTGTAAACAGAATGTGACAATAAGGCCTAAATTGATCAAAATTTCGAAAGTTTAGGCGTAAAATTAATATTAATCGAAATCTAAGGATCAAATAAAAAAATGCATGAAAATTTAGAGGATAAAATGATATTTCCTCTATAATGTTTCAGTATAATTGTCAATATACCTTATATTTTCTTTGTTTATGGTAAATCTCAGTCACATAAATAGAATCATATATATTATTTAAAGTAGTGTTTTTTTTCTAGATTTAAGTGACACATTATAAGGGCTTACTTTTTTTTTTTAAGAGAGACACGTCAGCATATATTTTCTTAATTACATACAGAGTCCTACACAAACCTAAACCTAATTTAAATTATACTAACTTTACCTATTTTATATGGACTCTATTTGATAAATATTTATTTTTTATATATTTTTTATGATAAATTGAGATAATCCACAAATCCAATACAAATTGTTCGTTTCACGTTTTTCTTCTTAATCCTTTCAAGGGTATTTGGATTTTTTTTAATGTTAAATTGTCTTCTCTCTATTTTTTTTTTCCTCGTACATTACTCTATACCAAATACAAATTCTATATTATGGATTTACCGTTTAAATTTTATAGTGATTATATATATGAAATTATACTTCTTTTCCTACATTATTTTATATAATTACAACTCACAGAAAGAAAAACCTGCACAACAATGATTAATCATTTCACACACTGAGATGTATCTATCATTCATATGTTTTCATTATTTTTTCTTTTTGGGTTTGGATGTTATAATGTAATTTTTTTTTGGTTAATCATTGTTGAATTTCTTTTATATAATTGACATTTTAATTTAATTAAGAGTGTTTATTTTACAATCTTATAATTGTATAAAATCATTTTATGATAATCCAACTACAATATATTTATATTTAATTTTTTAATAAATTTTATATAAGTCTATTTCTACATATTTTTATTTTTCAATTGAATATAAAAGAAAATAAAATAGTTAGAATTACTTCTAATTTTATATTACTAATTCTTCTTCTAATTTAACTGTTATTTTTAATATCAAAATAAGTATTTATTTTATTATTTTATAATTTGATATATATATTATACAAAATTATTATATATTAATTACACTTTTATAATACGACAGAGCTAAAATTATCAAAATACAAAATAATTTGACTAAAATTAATATGTATAAGTATTCAAGTAATAATTTTATAGAACGATAGAGCCAATATTATCAAAACAAATAATTAAAATCATAGCTTAATTTTTTTTAATTTTAAATTAAATTAAATTAAAATTAAAATTAAAATTATTCATTTATAATACACATTGTATCATCAAATATTTTTTGAAAAAAAAAATAACACATACATTATACCAGTTAACTATTAGTTTTATTAATAATACAAAATCAAGAGAGACGTAATGAGTCTTACCTCTCATAAAATACAAGAAAAATATATGCGAAAAAATCAACATTAACAAATTCAAATATATGAAGGGCTCAATGTATCTAAAGTCACAAGATGCTTAACCAAATGAGGGAGCTTTGAAAAAGTAAAAAAAAACTAAGAATCAACATAATCACAACCTACCGCCTTAGCTTACCATATACTGTTTTCAGTGTAATTGTCAACACTATATATATTCAAATTATATATGAGGGGTGGAATTTATTATACCAATATCATATTCAGAAAAGATAAAAAAAAGAATAAAAAATTTTCATATGCTCCCTACGACTTTTGAGGTATTTGGCTATAAATTATGATTTATAAAAATGTTAATTATGATTTGATTATAACTTAGTCATACATACACATTGTGGTATTCACTATAATAAATTAAGGTTTTAAAGACAAAAATTTAGAGATAAAATCACTTTTTAAGAATAAAATATTTTTGTCGTCAAAAGTGTTATTATTTTATTTTGTTTTTAGCTACAAAATTCGACCTTTTGTAATGAATTACTAACTAAAAGTTGTCTCAAGAAATAAATCTTTTTTCGACCAAGTTATTTTATACTTAAAAGTGCATTTATTAGTGATATTCTTAAAATTGTCCCTAAAAACTCTTTTTTGACTTTTCAGGACGACTTTTTAATGATTGTACTTGCGACAATTAAAATTAATCCCTAAATATTTTTTACAACAAAATTTATACTTTTAGAGACCAAAAAATTTGGTCTATAACTCTTATGTTGTAATGATTAGTTATAATTAATTGTGATATTAGTTATAACATTATTTTGATTATAATCTGATAATCAAACTTACAAATATCATAACTTGTATGTGATATACCCTTGTGTACCATAACATTACCCAACATAATATGTTATAAAAATATGACAAGTATAATGTTATTAAATTATAAATGTTCATAACTAGCCCGCATGATATATACCTTTTAAATATATATATTTTTAATTTTTGTATACACCATTTCAAACACGAGTAGCAATAGAAGTTTGGTCACCCAATACACAATCCCAACTACTCCAATCACATTCAATCCTACTGTCTAGGTTTAACAACAACTATATAAGAATCTAAACATAAACTTCTCAAACCAACCCATATTTTCAGAGAAAGAGAGAGATGAGGAAGGTAGCTATAATTGTAATGCTCTTATGTTCAATAGCCATAGCCATGCCTGTGGTTCATGGCATTGCCCAAGGCCCCAAAGCAGTGGATGATTGGTTCCAAAAGCTCAGTTTCAAAAAGGAGAAGCTCACAAAGCTTAACTTCTACTTACACGACACACTCAGTGGCAAGAACCCAACTGCTATCAAGGTAGCCCAAGCCAACATGACTTTCAAATCTCCAACCCTTTTTGGCCTAATCAACATGATTGATGACCCTTTGACTGTGGGTCCAGAACCCAACTCCACTGAGGTGGGTCGAGCCCAGGGGTTCTATGGCTCGGCCGGGTTGGACAAGTTGGGTCTGATCATGACCATGAACCTTTACTTCACCACTGGAAAATATAATGGTAGCACTTTAAGTGTTGTGGGTCGAAATTCAGTTATGGAGTTGTACCGCGAAATGCCAATTATCGGTGGGTCTGGTGTCTTCCGACTGGCACGTGGAATTGTTACTGCAAAGACATATTTCTTGAATACAACCACGGGTGATGCTGTTGTGGAGTACAATGTTGATGTCCTTCATTATTGAGAATTTTTTTTTTTTTTTCCTTACAATAATGCTAGGACCAAGAACTTGGACGCAAAAATTATTTAAAAAAAAACAGTGTGATCCAAATTCGACTATGTAGATCTCATATTTAGAATGAGTTTATATCGTACGCTGTTTTTCTTGATATTTTTTTTGTATCTAAGTTCTTAATATTATTATTTTTCTTTTTGATTGTTATTTTTATTTAATCTTAGATATTTTTGTATTATTTGCGAGGATGTGGTATGGCATCTTTTTTTGTTGGATCTGCTGGACATTGTCATTGACATTTATTATTTTTGTCTCTTGTCTCCTCTTTTTGTTTATTAATATCTTAATGTTACCTTTATATGATGGTTGAAGGTTGTGGAGATCCTTCAAGAAACAGTATGCCCCGGATGAAGGTTGTGGTATGCCCTGTTTGATTATGGTTGATTAAGAAAAGACAAAATCATGCATTCCTTTATCTCTATGTTGTAAGTCGTGTGTTTGGAGGAACATAATATGGGATTGGATTACATGTCTTATAAAAAAAATTATATAGAGTTTGGATGAAAAATTGAGCTCGAAACTAATAGTCTGGTTTAGAGATGGATGAAAACAATGGATTAAAATGGACCTCATTTATGTTTTATATTTATCCTATGAAAACTATGTATAATGATTTTAAACAAATATGAGATACGATAGAATTGTAATAATTCTTCCTCTTGATTCAAGAATATTTCAAATGTGAAATAAGATACATAATCTTAAGAAAATATTTTCAAAACTATATTCTACCGTACTTTATTTATGGTTATATGGGTTTGTTTTCTAATACGAATCCTTTGGGTATAACTTACCTTTTAAAATTGGCATGGCCAAAATTAATGTTAACTGATATAGGATCATAGCATACCATCGCGTTCTATTGTCATGTCCACTCTATCGACACCGATCTGAGCAACTATCAGTATTCGACACTTCTTTAGATATCTTATCCAACCTATAGGTCAACCCTTATGCGGTTTGATCCGCAAAGTCACACTCATCTAACTTCATATCTCGCATAGATGCGTTTGATTCCATACTCGACTCAACTTTTAGTACATATAGTAAAATCTATGTTAACCAATGTGAGATTATAACATTTTCTTGCATTTTATGGACAAAGTTACTCTCCATTACATGAGTAAATGGTTTATCCATCTTCATGTTTAATGCCTCAAATGTCAAAACCAACTTAATCTAATGGTTTGCAATACAGACCTCAATGGTTCATCTACAAATCGATCATTGTACAATAAGGTATTTAGAAATATTCACTTGGAAAAAGTCAAAATTTTTTAAAATGTGTTAATAAAATTCATTGTAAATGTAATTCATACTACAATAATTTTAAATTTATATTAAAATATATTTGAATCAATGGATTCTAAGATTGTCACTATTTCGTGTTTTGCGCTGCTTCAGGGCATCATCAGGTCTCTTTTCAGTAGCTTCTCTGTATAAGCATTGTTCCAATGGAGTTGGAAATCAACTGGGAGCTCCTACAATGCTGTGGAATAAGGTTTTACCCCCCAAAGTCCAGTTTTTTGGCTGGCTCACTTGGAAGCATAAGATTAAGACCTCTGTGTTCCTTCAGAAAATAGGGGTCCTCCCTGGAGGAACTTCTATCCTGTGTTGCTTTTGTAAGCATGATGAGGAGTCGGTGTTACGTGTGCTCCTTCATTGCCATTTTGTGTGGATGGTATGGTCGTCCTTGCTTGATTGGTGGGGTCTGTATTGGGCAATGCCTGACACAGTTGATTGTTTGTTACAGTGGTGGGAGGGTGGTAAGTTTCAGAAGAGAGAGAAGGTGATTTGGAGATGTATCCCTCTTGTAACCATTTGGTCTCTTTGGAAGCAAAGAAATGACAGTGTATTCAATAACGCAGTAGCTGATGTAGAGATTCTCTCTGATCTAGTTAAGTATAGAGTGGCTCTTTGGCTAAGTACAGCTTCTAGGCAGTGGCAGCATCCTATTCATCATTTTGTCTTCAATCTCCCTCAGATTAGAAGGTGTATCAGTAGAGGTTAATCTGTTCTGTTGGCCACTCTGCTGTGCTGTGTTGTGTTGGTCTGCTGTGTTGTGTTGGTCTGTTGTTGCAGGGTTGTTTTTGCTTGATAGTTGGATGGCTTTGTTGCAGGGTTGTTTCTGTATTGCCTTGTTTAATCCTATAGATTGGCTTAGTCTGCTGGGTTGGTCTGTGAAACTGTTGGGTTGGTCTGCTAAGATTTGTTCTGCTGGTTCTGTGCATCTGTGTTGTTTGGGTCTGGATGGCCAATCTGTGGTGTTTGGGGCTGGATGGCTGTGTTGGCCTGCTGTGATCTGTCCTGTTCAAGTAGAGTCTGAGTGTGTTTGGGTCGGTGATCCTTTTGTTGGTTCAAGTAGAGTCTTTGGATATGGTTGCAGAGTTTGGCTTCTTTTTGTCCCCAGAGCTTGGCCCAGTGTTTGCTGTTTTGGTCCATGTAGAGTTCTTGGCTAAGGTTGCAGAGTTTGGTCTGTGGCTGCTAAGATTCATAGGTTTTGCTTTCTTTTCGCTTTGGGTGCCCCTCTTTTTGGGTGTCCTTGGTTGGCTCCTCACCAATCCCGGGTCGAGTGCTAGCATATGATTGCGCTTTCTTTGCGGTGCCAACCTAGTTGGGATCGTTAAGTTTAGCTATGATGCTCTCTGCACTCCCCTGCTTTGTTGATGTAATTTTGCATGTTCTATGCCTCTTTCATCAATAAAGTTTTTTTTGCTGATAAAAAAAAAGGGAGTCAAACGCTTCATGAGATTCAAACTCATGGCTTATGGTTTCTAAGGCCCATTTTTGTGTATTGATATCTTGAGAGTAGCTCTGCCAACACTAACCAAATATAATTTAGATGCATTGAAGATCATTGAAATTGAAGGGCAAACTATTGAATTGTGATATGATGCTTGCGGATTGATGCAGAATCCATATGTGAAATCTGCAGACCTAGGTGGATCAAAAATAGGATCAGCAGTATCAGTAGCAGCAAATACGGTTACAGTATCACTTGGTACAGAGACAGCCGGGTCCATCTTATGTCCATCCAGTTTTAACGCGGTTGTTGGGATCAAACCCACAATAGGCCTCACCAGCCAGGGAGGGGTCGTCCCAATCTCAACTAGACAAGACACAGTCAGGTATGTGATGCTTCGCAATATGCAGTGTTGCTAGTATTTCATTGTGTACATTTTGAGAATTTTTTCGTGTTTGTAGATTGGAACCTAAATTGTAACTTCTACCATGTTGGACATGGCAGGCCAATCTGCAGAACAGTATCAGATGCTGTTTATGTGCTTGACGCCATCGTGGGTTTCGATCCTTTTGATGCTGTGGCAACTAGAAAAGCTTCAAAGTACATCCCACACGGTGGCTATGTGCAATTTCTCAAGTCTGATGGGCTCAGGGGAAAAAGGTTAGGGATAACAAGCTATCCCTTCGTCGGTTTCCCCAACGACTCGAAAAATTCCCATGCTTTTGAGCCGCATTTCAACACATTAAGGTAATCATTACACCAAGAGTTTTTATTTGCTGCCATTTTCTAGCTTTGGTTTCTCCAAGGACAATTTTAATCCCAAAACTACACCTCAAAATCTTGTGAAACGTTAGGTAAAGAGGTGCAACTTTGGTACAAGGTCTGGACATACCCAACTTCGATGCCATCATCAACTCCGTGTTCAATGATTGACATATAGTGTTGCGGGCTGAGTTCAAGTTGTCTCTAAATGCATATCTCAAAGAGCTACTCACTTATCCGGTAAGATCATTGGCAGATGCAATAGCCTTCAACAAGAAATTCTCGGATTTGGTAAGTACTACCATCTCTTTCCAACATTGGCAATTTTGAGCAAATGAATTGATCCTTTGTACTTTGAACATTGTTAATTAGGTTAATTTATGCTAAACTATGATCGGATAAGAAAGAGATACTGGTGTAAGATATTAGTCAGATGATCGCCTAAGTGTCTAACTTGTATGAATTCACTCTTTAACTAAAGATTGTTAAGGAGAAACTGGCATGAGATACTAATTGACTTGACATGTTTTGGGATTTTGTGTATTTGATTTATATTCACATATGGAGAAATTGGCATAAGATACTAATTCCCTTGACATGTTTGGGGTTAGTGTATTTGATTTACATTCACTTATTTCTTTTACTAGTGATTAGGTTAGTAGATTAATTTAACACTTACAATTTGCTATAAACAATCCAAATGTCGCTTCAATAAGACTAATCATACACAATTTGGTGGCTCTGCGGGAAAAAATTTATGGCCGATAGAAAAATAAACTCCTTTGTTAGCATGAATTATGTACACAATTGAGGATCACTATCAGTACAAGATTATAATCATATATGGTTTGGTGTCTCTGCAGGAAAAAATTGACGAATATGGGCAAGACTTGTTTTTGAAAGCAGAGAAAACAATTGGGATGGGTGAATTGGAAAAGAAAGCGCTGGGAAATTTAACGGAAGCATCAAAAAATGGACTCCAGAAGTTGATGAAAGATAATATATTGGATGCACTAGTGACACCCTTGTCATATAATTTCCGACATGTTTCTGGAGTGCTTGCTATTGGGGGCTTCCCAGGAATTAGCGTTCCAGCTGGGTACGATCACGATGGAAGGCCGTTTGGTATTTGTTTTGGTGGATTAAAGGGTTTTGAGCCTAAACTCATTGAAATCACGTATAGTTTTGAGCAGGATACGAAGATTAGGAAGCCGCCTTCATTTGGACCTTGTACTTTAATGTGTGCTAATTAGTTGATATATTATTGATACCAGAAATGGTTTTGGTGAACACCCATTGTTGTACTTGCAGGACATGTACAAGTAAATGCAGCACAATGTTATTAAGTGCTTTGCCTACAAACAAGAATTGAATAACATAAGATCTGCAGTTTCTATCCTTCAATATAAACTGCCAAAACGTTATTTACCTCATGTATTTCGAACCTTCTTGTCAGGGACGGCGGGGTAGGGCGTCGGGGTCGGTGGGGCGGGACGACGATGCCCTCCTCTTTCTCTCCTCTCACTGAATCGAAGAAGGTATGGGTCTGGGTCTCCGGCGAGGGAGAGGGCTCGGGATGGGGAAGGGGGATGAGGGAGCGGGAGACGAAGGGAGGAACATAGGAATAGAGGGCTCGGGTTTGGGTCTCCGGCCAAGGAGAAGAGAGGTGGTCGGCGGTCATCGCAAGAGAAGAGAGAGCAGCGTA